GTACTACCCCCCAACTTTATGGATGATTTTATGGGTTTAATTTTACGTATTATACTTGAATAAATATGATGCATATTATATATATATTAAAAAATGCATAAATTAAATTAAATAAAACTTATAGACATGTCTGCAGGTTCTTTAAATGGACAATTGCTGAGCATTCTTTCTGATGTCATGTCTCCTCCAARTACATTTCATTCTCTGTTTTGAACAGATTTAACTATTCTGAGTAGCATTTTCCCTGCACACAACAAGCCACATAAAGATGTCCTCGAGGAACACATTAAATACAACTGAACATATTTCATTTTTGGAGTTGAGACGCAAGGTGTAAAACGATTAACATAGTTTTTCCYCTCTTTTTAGATAAATCATTTCCATGAAAGTTCAACTTGATGTTGTACTTTCAGACTTTTTTGRTTCATTGCAAAAACAGCAAACCAGTCAAACACACAGAAATAATAATACAAAGGAACAGTTCTTATACTTGCTTTAATAGCTTTACTAAGAATTCCACTTTTTAAGGAAATGTAAAACACGTTTTCACAAATCAAGCAAGCATGCATAAAAAAAAGTGACAGTCTACATGCAGTTTACAAAGCATTATGCCCCGGAGGCCGTACYGGCTGAGATTAGCTTTCCACCTTGTGTTAATTTGATGCCATAGGGACCACTGAGAAGAAGTGATTGCCCGCTTGTGGCGCATCATATTCAATTTCCACTTCAACGGCTTGTTTGATCAAAGACAAGCCAAGGCTGACGGATCACTAGCACCTTCCAAATAGAAGYCCTCAAGGCAATCCAATTATTACAGAGCCTAAAAACCTGCATGGGTTGACCTTGTGTCTCCAGGAGTGCCATAATTACACTGTTTCACAACCAGCACGGCTCATCAATAAGACACGCATGCAAAATGAAAAGTMAAAAAGAACCACAAGGACCTCATCAAAACTAAATACTGTATTTAACAAGTGAAAATACAAAATTCTCAAAAAGCTCAATTGCAGGGTTGTGTATCTGGCTAAATATCCACTCAATTTCAACTCATCTAGCACTGTAAGATAGTTACAAATTTATCAAGTGTCAAAAAAGGCTTTTGTAATAACTTGAACACATTAATTAAATGTATATAGTCAATGGAATGTTTAAGAAGCAGAAGAGACAACAGAAAACAGCCTAAAAATAATCAGATCATAATTATCGTCCATTAGAGCACAATAGAAATGTTTAGCCATAGTTCAAACCAAACACTACATATAAATATATAAAGTGCATTGAATTCGTCAGCTATCCATTGTGCTTAACTTTCCTAATTTTACACAGCATAGGTAAAACTGAACATTAATTGTGATTGATGGAAACCCGTGGACATCATTCTGCTTTTATGCTGTACCTGCTTCTGYGAAGGAAGCACATCATTAGTCTGTGTCAACCCACATTCTGGCACCGATTTGTGAAACRCAATAACACATTCTTGACGGTACATCCTTTTAAAGCCTTAACTGTTAGAAAGACTAACAAAGATGAACAAACATAATGTAGTTTTCTACTGCAAACCACCAGCCAATAAAACAGTGGCACTCAGTTTTGCCATTCTGCTTTTCTGTAATGCTGTAATTAATGTGCTCTGCACACAYTGACGCCACACAGGAAGCAAAGACTTGTCAAGATTAATAGCACGATTATGAAGACACACTTTTTACAGACCGGCAGAAACATCAGAAAGGTGTGTGAAAAGTTTTAAAGTGTCTGACTTCCATATTGCAGCAGTTTTGTGATTTGGGAAATCTTCAAGTGAGATTAGATTGCCTTTAACTTGTGGCATGCTGAGAGGGTCATAAATCTGCATACATGGAGCAAATGAAAAGTAAGTAAGTGCTATAAGCAAATAAGTAAGTACTTTAAGTAGGTAAGTAAGTAAGTACGTGCTGTAAGTAAGTAAGTAAGTAAATAATTAAGTAAGTAAGTACATGCTGTAAGTCAGTAAGTAAGTACAATAAGTAAGTACAATAAGTAAGTAAGTAAGTAAGTACAATAAGTAAGTAAGTAAGTAAGTACAATAAGTAAGTAAGTAAGTAAGTAAGTAAGTAAGTAAGTA